GGGGTTTTGGTACCAAAAGTTGTGGTAAACCTCTCTCTTTCGTGAACTTCTCAACCAATTCCTTAGTTTTCCAATACTTTGCGGTATAATTGCCTTAAAAATCAAATAAAAATTTATTAATAACTCTCATACCACATACCAAGTAAAACAGACCCGTCTCAGATAGCGGTGCATCATAATCATAACTGGTCACCACTCGGTCCCCATTCATAAACCCAAAGTTAGTGCCACCGAAAAACATATAGAAATTAACCGATGAATTGGCCTTGAACAGTACATCCGTGATCTCCTTTTCAAAATAGTTGGCATCCATAGTGTGGTGACCCTTCTCCCCCCACTTGTCAAACCACCCTGGCCACCATTCAGTGACATGTAGGGGCTTATTAGGCTGTGCTGCGCGTAATTCTGTCAAATGTTTCAATGAATCGCCGTTAACGTTCTCGGTCTCTAAGACACCTGTAAATACACGATATTTATTATAATAAGTGTTTTCTAATAGAAACTTTCAAACATTTACTGTTGTTATGAATAGATTATAAATATAAATTACCATTATTATATTATGTAATACAGTACTAATCTAGTAAGAATTAACTAATTTTGGTATAGAAATATTAATATAAATTTATAAATTAGTATCGTAATAAGATTTTAAAATATAAGCCGTACCTGGTAATATATGTTTCATAGCCTCCACTGGATTGGATCCGTAATCACAATTAATGAGCAATTCTTTGAATCCGTGGGAATCTATGGTATTCTTCATGAACTCGAAGTACTCCTTATCATCATTACTATGAATGCCTCCGAACTCGTTCTCAAACTGCAGGGCTATAATAGGCCCTCCTTTCTGAAACTGGTAGTCATTGATAAGGGATAACACTTTCGTATAGTATTTGCCCACAGCTTCCAGATATGGCTTATAGTTGGACCTAAATCTGATGTTAGGGTCTCTTAGAAACCAAGCCGGGTATCCACCCAATTCCCATTCAGCGCATATGTAAGGGCCCGGACGGTACACCACAAACATATCCGCCTCTTTGCAGGCCTTCAGGAAGTCAACCAAATTCAAGAAACCGGTCTCGAAGTCAAACTGACCCGGTATTGGCTCGTGAAGATTCCAGGGTGAGTAGGTTTGTACCTGTTAATTAGCTAAAGTTATTGAAATCATTTTCTAAAAATGAAATAATTTTATACATACGGTGTTAAGTCCGGCGGCCCTGAACTTTAACAGCCTGTCCTTCCAGTAGCCTTTCGGTAATCGGAAGTAATGCAAAGAACCGCTAAATAAAGTGATTTTCTTTCCGTTGAGAGTGAAGTCTA